CAACAAAATATTTGCTGTTTTGCAAGGGTTGTTTTGACCTCAAATGTCCACAACAGAACATTTGCTACTTTGCAAGGATTCTTTTGTTGGTAAGATTTAGATATCATTATGTGTAATAGCCATAGTAGTTTTGACATTTGGTATTAAATTTAAATTCTTCCACTGGTTCTTAAAGAATTTGATTTTTTTTTAAGACAAAGTCTCACCATGTAGTTCGGGCTGTCATTGAACTCACCGAATGCTTTCTTATTTAATCTTCATATAAATACTGTAAAATAAGTATTATTTCATATTACAGACAAATGGAGACCCAGAGAATGTAAATAACTTACCCATTCTCACACTCTTAATGAGTAGTGGAATCTGGGTTTTAATTTAGGTCTTGCCTCCAGGGTCAGTGCTCTTTCCACTTTTCACTATCTCAAGAACAATGTCTTTTTTTATTAAAAAAGCAAAAATGGCCTTTTGACTCAGTGCTTTTATTTAACTCCTCTCTAAGCTACTTTCTCATTACTGAGACACCATAGCCAGAACCTACAATTTAAAGGAGGAGGAGTTTATTTTGTTTCACAGTTACACCTCTGGTTAGCTGGCTCTAAGGCAGAAATGAGATGATAAAATGGTCTACAGAGAAAAGCTGCTTACACTGTAGTGACCAGGAAGCAGAGAGGAAGGGAGGAACTGGAGATGAAGAGAGATGTACCCTTCCAGGCCATGCCCTAGTGACCTACCTCTCCCAAGCAGACCTCTTGTTCTCCTCCTCCTCCTTCTTCCTTTTCTTCTTTTTCCTCCTCTTCTTTTTTTCTCCTTTTCATCTTCCTCTTCTTCCTCCCCTTCTTCCCCTTCTTCCTCTTCATCCCCTTCCCCTTCCCCTTCTTCTTCCTCTTCCTCCTCCTCTTCTTCTTCCTCTTCCCTTTCCCCTTCTCCTTCTTCATACCACGGATCAAACTCAGGACCTTGTGCTTGTGAGGCAGGCAGCGACACCACTGAGCTACATCCCCAGACCTAGACCTCATCTTCTAACAGCAATGAAGTTCTGAACTCATCAGTGGACTGATGCATATAGTGTCCCCATAATCCAAAACCTTTAAAACACTTGAGTCTTTTGGGGGACACCCTAGATCTAAATCATAACATTCTACCCTGGCCCCAAAAGACTCATTATCATCTCTTTAGAAAAAAATGCATTTAGTCCATCTCTAAGAGTCACCAGATTTTCCACAGTTCCACCATTGCTGAAAAATCCAAGTCCAAAATCTCCTGTCAGGCTCAGGACAAACTCTTAGCCCTGAGCCCCTTTAAAAAATCAAAAACGAAAGCTAAACACTTCTAATATACAATGGCACAGGATAAACATTTCCCTTCCAAAAGGTAGAGATAGGAATAGAAAGAAATGAGAAAAAGCAATACCAATACCAAAATTTAGGAAAGCAAACATTAAATCCTGTAGTTTTGTGTCCAGAACCTAGAGCAAGTTGAGGCAAGATGTGAACTCCAAAGGGGTCACATAGCCTTCCTCCTATGACATTGTTGGTTGTCAGGTGGCCTGTCTTTAGGTGGCTTTGCTCACTGCCGTGTGGCTTTTTTGAGACATTCCTTGTTCCTGGCTTCTCAATTTCCTGAGGTCTCTACTGTACTTTGGTCTTCACTCTAACAGCTTCATACACTGCCCTCACACACACTGCTTGGCCTACCAGGCCCTCTGAAATGTGAGTGGAAGCTCCCTAACACCACAGCTTTTGCATTCTACATGCCCATCAAACCAGAACCATGTGGATGCCACTAAGGTCTACTCTCAACTTGAGCAGTAGCCAGGCTCCCTTGAATCATAGCTGCTGCAGCCTCTGAATGCCCAAATGGCCAAACATTATGAAATGAATCCCTGGAGATCAATGCCCTAGATGGCCCTTCTTGAGCAGAGTGCCCTGGGACTCTTTTTAAGGAATGCTTTTTTCACCCTTGAGCCCTTGAAGGGTGGGGTCTTGGGATTTCTGAGATGTTCTCAAAGCAACTTTGCTTTTGTAAGTGATTCAGAGTACCTAGCTTCTTTTTAATTCTAATCTTTTCAGTAACTATGCTCTTCTTCAATTTTGAAGGTGTTTCCTTTCTTGCAAAACTGAAGACCTTTTTATTTTTTATTTTATTTTTTTGGTACTGGGGATCAAATTCAGGTCCTTGCATTTGCAAGGCAGGCAGCAGAACCACTGAGCTAACCCCTTGGCCCTCTGAAAACATTTAAAGTGGGCTTTTTGCTCTGATTCTCAGTGTAAACCTGGCTGAAAGCAGCCAAAATTTCCTGTATGAGAGCCTGAACATTGGGCTTCTTTAAAATTTTGTCTGCCAGATTGATTAATCCACCACCCTTAATCTCAGTTTCCCACAAAGTCTCAGAACATGGGCAACATGTAGAGAAATATTCTGCCAGGGCACAACACACATGGCCTTGAGCCCAACTGCCAGTGGGGTACCTGTTCCCACCGGAAACCTTTTGAAGCTGACCTTTACTGCAGAATACTTCCAATGGCTTCTGAACCACATGGTAAGATAATCACGGCAATGACCACACTTCACTGGTACCAAAATCAGTCTTGGTCACATTCTCATCACTGAGAGGTTTATTTTATCTCACAGTTATAGTCTCTGGTCAGGTGGCTCCAAGGTAGAAATGGCATGATGGGAGGTCTGCAGAAGAAAGCTGCTCGTGTCGTGGTGGTCAGGAAGCAGAGAAGGGAAAGAGCCAGGGAAGGAGTTACAGCATTCAGCATTATACCCCCAGTAACCAGCCTCTTCCAAACAGTCCCCTCTTCCTAAAAGCAAATCAGCTATATACTCATCAGTGGATCCACTGATGTGTATAACAGCGCTGCGATCTTTCAAACCCTTGAGGCTTTGGGGGAGCACCTGAAACCTAAGCCATAACAACCCCTTGTGTTCAGAGACGCAAATGTATAATTTTTGGGCCTGGGAGCAAATTTATTCTATTTGTAACCTTGACTATCAAGGTCCTTATTTGTAGAAATGGTGTGTGTGTGTGTGTGTGTGTGTGTGTGTGTGTGTGTGTGTGTGTGTGTGTGTGTGTGTGTGTGTGTGTGTGTGTGTGATGCTTTTTAAAAAATAATAGATGTAACGATCTTTGTAGTAGGGTCACTAATCAGTACTGAACTTTTAGAATTTTTCTTTTTTTTTTTTCCTTAAATGGTTATGGAGCTAAAACCCAGGACCTTCATGCATTATGCCACTGAGCTACATTTCCTGGCTCTTCTTCAAAATTTTATTTTGAGACTGGGTTTCACTAATTTGCCTCAGCTGGACTTGAACTTGCAGTCCACTTCCTAAGTAGCTGAGATTACTACAGGCCACTGTGGCTGACAGCTGTTAGAATTTTATTGAGTGACGTTTGTGCATATGTGGGTCTCACATGATTCCTTCCAACAGCTTACAATGTAGTTGGGAAAATAGTGCCAAATAAGTTAGTGCCAAAAGATTAGAAATAAAATTATGTGGCAGTGATAGAAATAAGGTTATTATCTTCATATAAACATGGTGCTTTACAGATGACAGAGAGCTTTGTCATTTATTAATAATTTATGATAGATGAAATGCTATGTAAAGATCTGTATTGGGTCTATAACAATAAATCAAACAGACTTCTGCCCTTTTTGTTATGATTAGAAACTGAATATTTCAGAAGGAAAAATCAGACAAGATATTTACAGTTGTTTTTTAAAAACTTCATTTTTGCCACTAACAAAATTTGACAAAATTTTATTAGCAAAATTCTGTGGATTTTTCTGTTTCTCCTGGCAATCCCAACAATATCCAAAAGTCATTTGAGGCTCCAGAACTACAAAATTCCCCTGAAAATAAAATGTTGTTAACAATATAAAGGTGACAGTTGTCAGCATGTTGCCAGTAGTGGAAGAATGTGGCCAATGGCGTGCCTCTGCTAGTACAGTAGTAGGCTTTGTGGTTTAGGGAATAACATATAGAGACACAGTGCTTGTCCAGTTGCTTCTGTATGGCACCCAGTCTGCACAATAACTTAAAGTGCTTTTAAGCAGTATTGCTTAACACTTGAAATATTTCCACCAAAAATTGTAAGTTCAGAGAATGCTTATATATATATATATTATATATATATGTATATATGCCTAATATTCTCTCTCTTTCTCTCTCTCTCTGCCTCACTGCTCTCTCTGTCTGTTTCTCTCTCTTTTTTTCTCCCTGTTTTCCTCTCTCCCTTTCCTCTCCCTATTTTGTTACTATAGATTGAACCCAGGGCCTTTGCTCTGAGCTGCATCCTCAGTCCCTTATAGAAAAAAAAAATTTTTTTTTTAAATTTTGAAACAGGTTCTCACCAAGTTGCTCAAACCGGACTTGAAACTATTTAAAACTTCTAGAATCTAGATCCCCACAATAAACTGCCTTTTGAAAAGTACTGTCATAGGGCTGGGGACTTAGCTCAGTGGTTCCACTGCCTGCCTTGCAAGTGCAAGCTCCTCAGTTCAGTCCCTGGTACAAACAAACAAGTAAATAGTACTGTCACAGGCTGGGGATTTAGCTCAGTAATTCTGCTGCCTGCCTCAAAAGCAGAAAGACCGGAATTTGATCCCCAGTACCCCCCAAAAAACTGTTATATGTACAGTTAAATTATATAGGTAATAACAGGTGTTCTACATTTTTACTATCCAACTAGAAATACAGTGTGAGAGCTACCTATGTAATTTAACTTTTGCTAATGGACAGATGAATAAAATGAAAGAGAAATGAAATTAATTTTAATAGTATATTTAATACATCAAATACAAAATATTTCACTGTGGAGTCAATATAAAAAATTACTCCAGACTCCAGATATTTTACACTTTTTTACTAAGAAGGCTTCTAATAATTATGTATTTTTGAATAAAATGTGTATTTTGTATTTCCACCACATATTAATTTGGACTAGCCACATTCCAGGTGTCCTTTAACAGCAGTATTCTATTATTTGCTATCCCTCAATCATTTTCCAAACCATTTGGAGGCAAGAAAACCAGTGTGTCATTGAAATGATGTCCAAATGCCCTCAGCTGGTAGACGCCATACATCATTAGTTCCATTTTTTGGAGTGTCAGTCCATTAAAAGTTAACAGCTACATCAGAACAGCAGCCTTTAACAATTTGCTGAGGGTTACTAAGCATTGCCTTTTGAATAAGATCTAAAATTGGTTTGTATTAAATACATTTTTTCCTTCATAATCCTCTGCATTTTCTGCAAAAATGCCGGCATATTTCAGGAAGATTGCTAGCTGCTTATCAAATGATAAATTCCAAATCACACTTTGACTTGCACACAATTCATACTTATTGAGAAGCCTGTGAGATCTCCTCAGTGACTCTGCACTTGATCAGAGTCTCCAGATGTAACGGTGTGGCCCAGATAGAAAGGTTGTGATGCGGTCTTTGTCAGCAGAGGTACTTTAAATTTTCAATGACGGCAAACATGGTAGGAAGTGTCAGAGTACCACTTGAAGTTGTTGCCAGATCTTTCAAAGACATCTTTGTAAGTTTCCCTCATATGTTTCCACTTGTCATTTCTGTCTACATTGGAAGAATGATCACTTTTAGCTCCATAGAGCTCTGCCTGGTCACTGTATTTGGGCCGAGTCTCTCTTAGCATAGCCCAATAACTCTCATCTTCGGGTTCTCCGAGGATGACATAAAAAACATTCATACTTTTGCTGAGTTCTGTGTGTGTCACTTGTGAAATATTGAAGAACTCTTTTCCCTTTGGTGGCCTAAGGTGATGGTGTTTGTGGTCTCGAGTTTGACCTCCGTGTCGACTGTGGATTTGGCTAAACATAGTTGCCAAAGCCCAGGAAATGCTCCCAATCAATATACCCTTAAGAAAGGATGCTCTATGAACGGAAACCATTTCTCAGGTGGGAGCACTGCGCACGGATCTAGGGAAATCTGGGGGCCGTCTCGGTAGCCCCAGGGATGCTGAGTGCCTCCGGACAGGGCCAGTCTAGCTGCGGGCTGCGCTTCTCGGTGGTATTGGAAGGAAGTGGGGCCCGGGCCAGTCTTCTGGTCGGCCGGGCTGACCAGCGGCTACTAGGCGCTGGCTGTGTTGTAGGAGTTCTGGGTGGCGGACTACCAGTTTGAAAAGGTGCACATGAGCACTGATAAAGTCACAGACGGCTGTAAATTGGCCAGACTTCTCTGAGAAAAAAGAAATTGAAACGCAGTTTTATTTCTTGACTTTTGTATTCAACATCTGGTACACGTCCATTATGTTAATTAGCATTGGGTCCTTTAAAGACTTTAACATTTTTACATATATTACTCTTTTTGGTATATGTACGTCTGTATGTGTATGTGTGTTTAAAGAGTCTCTTCTATTACTCTTTCCATCAATCTATCTGAACGTAATAATTCCCAGAGTGTAATGTTCCCAGAGTGAAGTTTATGAAAATACACTACTCCCCCAACATTATTGTGAATTGTTTGTTTTTTGAGACATGGTCTCACTTCGCAGGCCAGGCTGGCTGGGGAACTCACTGTTCCTCCTTCCTGAGCTTTGTGAGTGCTGGGACTACAGGAGCATACCACCACTGCCTGCTCAGCGTGATTTTTTGTAATCAAAGCTTCAAATACGACAATGGAAGTCTTTTTTCCTAAACTTACTGTTCTTAGTATGTGTTAACAAGTCATTTCTAGTCTTTTGATGAATATTTCTGTTAATATTACATTGTTTTAAAAGTACAAAAACTTTGGCATTTTTGTTTCATCAGTGTTTGCTTGTTTGTTGGATCTTTGAGATGGAGTATGGCTTTGAGGTGCAGGCTGTCCTTGAACTTACTGTGTAGCCTAGGGTGGCTTTGAACTTGTGGCGATTCTCCTGCCTTAGCCTCCCAAGTGCTGGGATCACAGGTGTGTGCCACCACTCCTGGCTTGTTTCATCAGTTTTTAAATATACACAGAGCCTTTAATGTGTTAATTGTATGTAACTCATTTCCAGTGAACCACATTAAAAATTCCTTCAAAATTGATAACATTGGGAGATTTAAAGTATTTTTCTAATAGGGAAATATGCATTTTTGTGTTTTTTATATTTTCCCTCACCTTACAGATGCAGCAGCTTGAGAGACAAGTTATTGATGCTGAACGTCAGGCAGAAAAAGCTTTTCAACAGGTAGAGTATAATTTTAGTTAATTTTTTTTCTGTCTCATGTAAAGATTCTATTACCAAAGTAGGAGGATTGTCGTCAGCCCTTCTCCACATTCTATCATTTGAACTAGAAGAATCTAACTTTAAAGAAGAGAATCTAACTTTATTTTACCCATTAACACATTTTCAAGAGGAAAAAAAGGATTCAATTTTCTATTTTCTAAAAAGTCAAATGACTTTTGTGGTAATCCTAACCATAATGAAATTGTATGTATTAATATAGTTATAAAGGCTTTATTTATAGTTATTGAAATAGTATGAATGATACAGAGGAATGTGAACTATATCAATGCCATTTTTACAACTCCATTAAAAATAGTTGTTACCAAGGATATATATTAATATGTTAAAATGCTTAGAATTATATTAGAATGCTTAACCCTTTCTTGGTCTTGCAAGCAGTAAAATGATTGGTTTGGATGGGTACACTCAGCATTAAATTTTATCAAATGATCTTGAATTCTTAGCTTCTCATGTTTATGAAAAGATCTCTGTCATATTCAGTTGAATAAAGAATTTCCAAAAGCTTAAACACAAAACTCTTTCTCCTAAGATGTGAATATTAAATTTTTTCTACCTTCTCCAAGTTTGTTGTGATTTTTCTTTTTAAACCAGTATACTATTGAATCTTGTTTTCACTTGAAAGATTTAATTTCATGTAATAGATTGAGTGGCCTAACACATTTCTAAATAAGCTCAATGTAAACTAATCCTAGATTTTTAAATTGTACTTGAAATCTTAAAACTTTATTGTGCATAACTCCAACCACATATGTAAGTAGAAAATATTATATACTGCACTCCCATCTTTCTTAGCTAACTCATGCTTGTCTATACCTCCACCCATTATTTCCCTTCAGTTTCCCTTCAACCACCCCCAAACTGGATTATTTTGAAGCGATCCCAGACATCATATAATTTCACCCATGAATGAAATTTCAGCAACTAATCTGAAAGGACTCAGAACAACATATCCAAACATACCATCATCAAACCAAAAAATTTCCAGTAATTTTTCAAAGATCTAGTCAATACATATTCAGATTTCCCCAAACACTTCATAATTCCTTCTTTTTTGGCCTTTAGTTGAGGTAAAATTCACGTAAGATAAAATTAACTATTTTTTTACTTTTTTTAAATTGAGTTTATTGGTACATTTTAGGTATACAGTACAGTTACATTCATCATTGGGATCCTGTATCTTTACATGACAGGTCTTGGTTCTCATTTTTCCCCTTGTCCCTGTCCTCCCTTCACTCCCTCCTCCCCTCCCCATTTACAAACACTTTATTTCCATTTTTTCATTTTCTCACATTTTTTTCCTTTCCCTTATTACCTTTACCTTTCCCCTACCCTTCCCACTTTCCCTACACCTTTAGCCCTTTTTTTCCCATTTCACAATGTCAGTTATCTCATTAGGATCTTATGTACTATTATAGTTTTTCACACCAGAGAAACTGCTCGGTATTTACACATGTGTGACTTATTTATTTCACTTAGGAGTATATCCTCAATATGTATCCATTTTCCTATGAATGAATCTAAAAATTAACTATTTTTAAAATGAATAATTCACAGTGCTATACAACCACCATCTCTAATTCCAGAATATTCCCATCATCCCAGAAGGAAACCCTGTGCCCATTAAGTGTGTCCCATTTCCCTGCTCTTCCCCCAGCCAAGGCTTGACAGCCACTAGTGTCTTTTCTGTGTCTATAAATCTTCCATTCTGGGTATTTCTTACTGATGGATTCATATAATTTGTGACCTTTTGTTTCTGGCTTCTTTAATTTGCAGAATATTTTTGAGATTTATTCATGTTGTTGCAGCAGGTAAATCACAATTTGTTTATCCATTCATTTATTGATGGAGATTTGGGTTTTTCCACATTTTAACTATTGCTATGAGTGCTGCCATGAGCAGGCATGTACATGCATCTGTTCATGTATGTATGTATGTATGTATGTACTTATTTATTGGTACCAGGGATTGAAATTGGGACCTTGTGCTTGCGAAGCAGGCAGCAGAAACACTGAGTTAAATCCCCAGCCTCTCACGTACCTGTTTTTAATTCTTTTAACTATGTTCCAATTTTCTTGTTTTGGTTTTGGTTTGTTTTTTGAGACAGAGTCTTGCTATGTAGTTAGGCTGGTCTTGAACTAACCTAGGCTGTCCTCCAACTTGTGGTGATCCTCCTGCCTCAGCCTCCCAAATGCTGGGATTATGTCCATGTGCCATCATGCTCAGCTTTTTTTTTTCTTTGTTTTGATTTTTATTTTTTAAAATTTTTATTGTTTTTGGTACCAGGGATTGAACTCGAGCCCTTGTGCTTGCAAGGCAGGTGACAGAACCACTGAGCTAAATCCCCAGCCCCTTTTTCCTTGTTTTTAATAGTTGATTTGTCCAAATCAGGACCTGAAGTAGATTGACACATTTCATTTGATTCTTAAAGGCTTTAATTATAGAGTCTTACCCTTTCTTCCATTCTTCCTGCTTAACTTTCTTTCTTTTTTTTCCTTTCAATTTATTTGTTGAAAAAGTCAGTTTTATTTGTCCTATCAAGCTTTCTATATTCGAGATTTTCCTGCTTGCATTCCTGTGATGTTAACATGTTAAGCTTTTTTTTTTCTGTTTCTTACTGTTTTGTTTTGTTTTGTTTTTTCTCTCCCTAGACTATTTCTTGGGTGTTACTATATACTTTTTCAGGAGGCATATAATTTATTACCTTTTTTAATGTTTATATTAGTAGCCATTGATGATCTTTCTTTGATCAGTTATTACTTTAGGGAGGTAATTATTTTTTAATAAATTTTATTTTTAGGGTAGTTTTGTATATATAGCAGAAATTACACAGTTCTCATATGCCCTCTCCCTGTCATACACACAATCTAGCTTGCCCCATTGTCATTGGCTCATACCAAGGTGATACATTTGTTTACATTAGGGTTCACTCTGTGTTTTTACATCCTATAGGTCTTGACAAATGTGTAATGATATTTATCTACTGCTGTGTTATCATATGGAACAGTCCCAATGCCCTAAAATTCTTTTGTGTTCAACCTGGTCATTTTTTTCCTGCTCCTAAATGTCTGGGACCCACTGCTCCTTTTACTGTGTCCATGGGCAGAAGCCTTTCCCAAAGCGTTATATACTTAGACTCATACAGTAAATAATCTGTTTATAGTGCCATTTTTCTCACTTAGTAATATGCATTAAAGTCCCTCCATGAATTTTCATGACTTGATAGCTCATTTCCATTTATTTCTGAAAAAAGATTCTATTTATGATATACCACAATTTATGGTTATTACTTTTCCAAATCAAGATATAATATATAGAGCCATAAAATTCATTAAACTTGAATATATAATATATTCATATGTATATATGTATATATTTTCCACTAGATCAAGATGTGGAATATTTTATTTCCCCAGAAGATTCTCTCATGCTTCTCACATCTTTAGTTTGGTTGTTTTTTGTGAATATAATCGTTGGTGTCCTGGCTTCTTTTGCTCAACATTATGTCTATGAAATTCATCCACATTGATGTGTGAGTATCAGTAATTTTTTTTATTGCTGAGTGGTATTTAACTGTGACCATACCTCAGTTTTTGTCCGTTCATGTAGCTCATGTTCAGTTTTGGATTCTTATGAATAAAGCTAAGGAAATATAGTTACATTTTGGTGGATATGTGTTCTTCTTTCTCTTGGGTATACACTTAGGGGCAGAATTGCTGGGTCACAGGTTGGCAGATATTTACTTTAGCAGATGTTAGCAAATAGTTTCCCAATGTGGATATACTAGATTGTATTCCTAGTGGCTAACAGGGGTGGAATATTACTTTTAATCCCAATATGTCAACATCATTGGATTAAGAAATGCATACTGCTCGGTGTTTCCAGGTGGTCAGACCAGCATGACCTCGGGTACTGTACCTTCCTCTTCTTCTCTGGCACTATTCTTCTACTCTGCTTCCTGTCCTCCATGAACTAAGCAGCCTTGCTCCACCATGCCCTTTCACCATGATGTCTCTGCCATGGAGCATGCTGACCATATATTAAATCTCCTGAAACCATGAGCCAAATAAACCTTTCTTCCCTCAATTGTTAGTATTGGGTATTCTGTCTCAGTGATGGGAAAGCTAACTGATATACTAGCAGTATATGAGAATTCCAGTTGCTCCATCTACTTGGCAACACTTGCTGCTCTTTTTAATTTGAGCCATTCTGGCCATGTTAATGTTGAGAAGATCCCAAGACAAATTCTTCTCGTTGACTTAACAGATATGTGTATGCAAAACATACCATTTCCATAATTCAATTATATCTTGACAAGAATTTAGCTTCTGGTATGTAATAATGCTCCCTGCCTAGAAAAATAAATAGGTTTTTCTTAGTGCAAAATGCCTGATTGAGTCTACCAAAATAAGAGAAAGTGAATGTAGAATATAGCAGGGGAAGCCAATCTAAGCTAGTTCTAAATGCTCCCCATAAAACTGGACAAGGCAAATTTCAAGTTTAATTCTAACCCAGCTCTTCTTCAGAGTTCTTGGAGTACATTTGCTCCAGTTTGCCTGTGATGGTGTTCTAAACACATAAAATTAAAGGCCAATGTTTGAAGAGAGTAGCTTACTTTTTCTTTCTCCATTTTTTTCTCTTTTTTTGAGTGAGAGGAATGAGGAGGGATATGGGACCAAAGATTGGCAAGGTAAAGTCTATACAAAGAAAAATAACAATGAATGTATGTTTCTCTGTCTTGGAGATAGACTTAAATTTTGTACTGAGTTTAAATCCCAAGTCTACAACTTATTTAAATGAAAAAGTTTCTTAATTTGAGTCTCAATTTTGTCACTTATTAAAAAAGCTAATATTGACAAGGCCAATAGCCATGTACTGTGCAGAGGTTTATAACACTGTGATTAAAAACAGATGCTGAGGCCAAACTGCCTCAATATCTGTTC